CTTCTCAATGTGACAGCAAATCTTGCCTTTTTTCAGGCTCCAGGGGCAACTCATTTTGCACAGTCAGCAGCCAGACTTCTACAAGTCAGATCATCTTTTTTAAACAAGTAAAGTACAAATATGAAATCTAGCAATTGGTCCAAGAACTTCTTAAATGCAAGTACTAAGATGTACATACTAGCTAGCAATCTTCCTCAGAGGAGCCACAGGGAAGGTCAGTTAGATCACACTTTAATCTTGGGTCTGGGAGATTGAATGCTGCATCGTGCCTTCTCCCAATTCCCTTTCCCAAAAAACGAAACGTCATCCATCACTCACACCATTTACCCATTGAAAGGCTACAGACCAAATCCTTTAACAAATGCTGTCACCTCAGGTTTTAGTATCTCCTCTTTTTAAATAGCTGTCAACCTACAAGAACACGCTAAAGTCATTAAACCATCCCTGCCATCACCACCAGCAGTATTTTCAGGAACAACAACAATAGCCAAGGTGCTGAGGAAGAAGAAAATCAGCACAACTTCTTTCAAGCAGTAGGACAGAGGCTGGGTGAGCAGGCCAGCAAAATATCCTGCCTCTTCTGGGATAAAACTTAACACACTCAACAAAGAACACTCCTGCATCAAGGAAGATGTTTCTATCTAGGACGTGCCAGGTAGTTATGCGGAGGAGCTGTCAAGTGGCAAGCTGGTGGCTAGGCTACCTTCTGTTACCTGTGCGTGGCTCTGAGCCCAGGGACCTGTCCTTAAGATGTGTGCTGGTAGCTGGAAGAGAACAGACCTGCTCAGAGCAAATCTCTACTCCAGCTTTCAGATTTGAAGCACATAAATAACAATGAAGATAAAACCTTTAATGAGAGAAGGAGTTGCTAGCTCTGTTTTCTTCTAGCAGATAAACAAGAGGAAAGCCACTACATGAACTGCATGAGCACATTCATTTGAGCACACCCTTCTCTGGAAAACACCATACTCCCACAGCAGGGACAGTTCAGCAGCGCAGCCATACCATAGTGAATTTACAAGGGGACTGCACTGTGATGATGACACTTGTACTACCTCCTAGTCAGTGGTTGCTCTTTTAAGATGACTCTTAACTTTGCATAGGCCCACCATTTTTTAACTTCTCAAAGCATCAGACACACCTGGGAGAGACACTGGAACAGGTTGCTCAGGGAAGCTGTGGATGCTCCATCACTGGATGTATTCAAGACCAGGAACCTGTGGGAGGTGTCCCTGCCCGTGGTAGGGGGTTGGGAACTAGGTGATGTTTAAGGTCCCTTCCAACCCAACCCTTTCTGTGATTCTTTTCCTTTCTATTTCCAGTATGTTATTCTAGAAAAATTATATTCATCTGCTGTTCTGTTGGTGTGATCTCAGCCCCTGCTCGTTTTCACTCTGTAAGTAGGAAAACCCCAGTGGGGGCTCCTTACGCCAAGAGAAACCTTACAAGATCAGAGGCAGATCATCACATGATGAAGCCTCACTTTAAATAAAAGCTGCCTACTCGAGAGATTTCAATGCCCTTTGCTCAGATTAATTGGCAAATGATGGATTGCTTAGTGCTCCCTGTTTACATCAAAGACTCCTGCTTCAGAGTCCTCCAAGCTGAGAGAAGGCAAATAGTCTAAAAGGAGGATGACGATATGAAGAGAAAAGACTGTACAGTAGGAGCTTTTCCTTTGTGCAAGGTGCCGTATCTACACTCCACGAGCACGGGTGTACTTACTGTGCAACACCTTTGCTAACAAAGTAAGAAAATAGTATTGTAGCTGCCAAGGACTGGCCAGTGATTCCAGGCCAGTGAGGGCAAGGAGCCTGCAGCGCTGGAGCTGTTCTAACTTCATAGTTTTGAGAGAGTTTTCCTGCAATGGAAAGGAGTTGGGCAGATGCAATGTAGTGAGGGGACAGGAAAATTAGCCAAGAGCAGAGGGTATTTCTGTGTTCCACTGTTCACAAACACCATCCAGCGATCAAAAGTACTTGTACAATCAGGATCCCCTGCCTAGCTCAGAGCTCCAGCCCTGTGCTTGTCCCCAAATGCTTTAATGCTCTGGCAACAAGGGTCTGGAGCAAGTCCTCTGCACAGCACAGCATCAAAGGGAACCACTTCTTCCACGGCCTCACTGGGTGACATGACATGGTGAAGCTAATAAATACACTGGCAACTCTGAACAAATTCAAATGACTTCTGCTGAAACTGCACACTTCAAAATCTCTCTAATGAAGCAATGCTCTCCAGCAGTTATATTTGCTCACTATCTCCCTTCCTGTTTCAGCTAGATGTTGTGACTGGCTGTATTGGTTGTAGGCTATCAGCAACTCAGAATGACACTGCGAAAGTGCCAGGGGCTGGGAGAGATTTCCAAGTCTTTATATTAAAAATGTAAAGTACAGAAGTGAGAGTCTTTGGGTTAAATTAAGCTCCAAGGGATTTCCTGTAGCTTGCGCAGGAGTTAGAGGAAGTTTCTTTGAAGAGGGTTCAACATACTTTTCCCAGAAGCCATCAGACATTTTAATTACTCCTTTCACACACCCAAGCACTCTGCATGCAAGTCAACCTTCCAGGCATGTATCTTTTTAATAACCTTTTAGTTAAGCCTAGTAGTTTTCATTTCACCAACCATTTACTCTTCCCATTAAACAGGCCTTTGTTCAAAACACTTTCACAATTATGCTCTTACAGGTGCAAACTCCACCAAATGCTAACACCAAAAAGCAGAATAACTAGATGTTCCCAATTACCACAACTGTCTAAGCAGAACAGTCACACAATATAAAGACGTGCTTAGTGGTGCAGTTTAATTGGATATTAAACTCCCCTATAGCAAGTGCACTGCACACTCCAGGGAGAAGCAGGATGGTGAAAAGGGGAGACTATAGCTGACAACTTCAGAATGGGTTTGGAAGATGAGAGTGGAAACTTAGTGCATGATAGCTTCTCGAATGGCTCTGTCACCTTGCTATCCACCATCTCTCCAGGTCATTCCAGATTGTGTTGAGTAGTATGGTCCTCACAGCACAGCAATGATGACCTGTTGCTGCAGACCATTTACCCACAGTCTCCCTTCAGACAGGATGTTTTCCATGCTAAGATCTTTCCCCTTTGAGAGGCTAAACTTCCCTCAGATAAGACCAACCCTTGGCTAAGGGGCGCTGGCAAAAGCCCTTTGGGCACCTAAACTATACTGGAACTTCCTGCAGACAGGAGTTTGGAGAAGTCTCACTCACAGCTGCAGTAAATGCTTAAGGTACACAGTGTCCAGCCATCCCAGAAGAGGTATCTGCATTACAAAAGTTCATCATTCAGAAACAACACGACTCATCCCTACAAAGTGGGATGCAGATCATTTCCCTCATTTGAAGACTCCTTTGAGGAATGAAATTAAAACAACCTATTACTGAGGATGGGAGAATTAGTCTCCCATTCATCATTAAGCTAAAGTGTTGCTATGGACAGTGGTTCAGCTTGATCTGAACCAATGACCTCAACACAACAGTATCCACAACTGTAAAAAGCCTACTCAGCTGTCGCACGAGTGGACAGTGCTGAGCAGCCATCATCATTTTTTACTCTATGAAATATGCAAACAAATGGCACAATTGGTACTTTACATTCAATAGGCTGGTAGTAAATGCAGAGGTACATTACCCTGAAGCTTTGCTTTCATTCTGCTGCACTTTGAAAAGGCAGAACGGATTAGAAAGAAATTAGTGAAATGATGGCAGCTGGCAGGGGAAAGGAGGCAAAGCTTTCCCACGTGGACAGGAAAGTAAGGCTGCAACTCAAGGACAAACTGGACGCTTCTACCACAGCGGTTAACAGCAGACTAAGTGTCATTACTAAGTTTTGCAGTTAAAAACCCCACTGCCACAGTTGAGGCAATACATACCTCTATGGAAGTCCCAGCCTTGGGGTATTTGGCAGCACCTGCCTGAGTCTGCCTGACTAGTTTGTACGGAAATTCCTCTCCATTAACCATTTGAATCTGAATCAAAGTGAAGACTCTAACAGACACTTTGGATAGTACTCTGACACGTCACAGAACAAAAAACCTGTTTTTGTTCTGAGAAGCTTCCTTATTGTGTGAAAACATTTAATGAAGCAGATTTCTATGTAATGAGTAGCAAAGGTGGCTTAAGCTTGATCTTCTGCTCTTTGAATTTTGAGTTCTCAAACATTTCCTACTGCGATACTCAGCTGGACAGATTTTGAGTGCATGGTTCCATCAGAGAGACAAACGTATTCAAATCCCCCATCCTAAGAACATGCACTATCATAACAAAAATAAGGCTTTTTCCATTATTAACAGACATTCAACTAATCACACAAAAATGTGCAAGAGATTGGTACTCCCTTAGACAGAAACATTTATGAAATACAGCTGGTAACTGCTGAGTTTATTAAGGAACTGTTTTGTGTTTTTTGTTTTTTTTTTTTTTCCTTTAAATAAACAATATGATACTTCTCCTCCAAATTAAAAAAAAATAGTAGTGGAAATAAAAACTCAGCAGAATGCAAGGAGAGAAGGGACCGACAGACAACTGTGGACCGTTCTGACTTAGCAAAGACCTGCCACAACAGATCTCCAAACCCAGTGCCATAGAGCCATCCTGCTTGAGAGGGCAGGGCCAATTTATCCAGTGACTAAGACTGCAGAGAGAAGTCTCACAGCCCGTGCATCCTTATGAAAAGCTCAAGCTGATGCATCTTCAGTCCAGCGAGTTGAGACAGTGCTAGCACATACGAGTGATTTCAGTCTTCTCAAGTCTCACATTTCATTACTCAGTGGTAAATAGGTTATTTTTTCATACAAAGCCAGTTTAAAGACAGCGAGTGCAATCTCTACCAGTACAATGTGCAGAGATCCCCGTGATGTAGTGTTCCCCGTCAGCCACTGCTGGGAAGTGGGTCTGGACTGGCCAAAGCACATGCTTTCTCCAGCCAGCTGAGCAGGCCTCGTTCAGGCAGGAAGCAACCAAGGAGACCAGAATGACAATGAGCTAAGATTTGTCCAGTTTGTGAGTGCGCTCATGCCGCCGCAGGGTCCCCGACTCGGTGAAGGAATGACCGCAGTAACTGCAGGAGTAGGGCTTCTCTCCAGTATGGATGCGGTGATGGCGCTGCAGCGATGCCAGCCGGGTGAACGTCCCTCCACACTCCTCACAATAGAAGGGACGTGCCCCAGAATGAGTCTGCTGGTGTCTTTTCAGCCTGAGCAGCTGGACGAAGGCCATGCCGCATTCCTGGCACTTATAGGGCTTGTCCTGTCGGTGGATCACCTTGTGTTTGGAAAGCAGGTTAGGCTTGTCGAAACTTTTGCCACATGTTGGACAGGCATAAGGTTTGTAGTCATCTTCCTCAGACTTTTGGTTTCCTGCACAGGGCTGATGGGCGTACTCCAGAGCGTGCTGGTGGCGGTGCACGACGGACCACGGGTTCCTCGCCATGCCGTTTGCCAGGATCACCATGGAGCGCTCTATCTTGTGCACGTTGCGCAGGTGCCTCCAGACATCAGCCGTGCGAATGAAACCCTTGTCACACTCCGGACATTTGTGTGGCCTGTCACTAGAATGAATGAGCTTGTGCATGCGCAGATTTGCCGCACGGAAGAACTCCTTGGCACAGACAGGACACCGGTACGAGTTTTCCACGAGGTGAGTTCGCTTATGCTCCTGCAGCTCGCTCACGCCCTGGAAAGAGGAACCACACTTCTTGCATCGATACAGCAAAGCTTCCCCAGAGACAGGCTCCAGGTCCTCATCAAACACATCAGCAAGAACGGTGTTTTCATTGCCCTCACGTAGTCTTCTCCGCGGTTTCTTGGACCTCTCAGAGGAACAGTGCTCTAAATCTTTATCTTCATACTGCAGGTCGAAGTTGGTACTGGAGGGGACAAATACCCCAGCTGTACTCTCACCTCCCTTCTGGTAGTAGGACTCACAGGTTTCTTTGTCTTCACACTGCAACTCTGCAGGAAGCTCTTGCTTACCTGAAGGTCCAGCAGAGTTGCGGCAAGAACTGCTTGTCTGTGAGTAACGCATGTCTACCTCTTTCTGCAGGCTAGATGTGTGGCCCATCTGCTTAGTGGTCTTTCTGGAATATTTTGAATGCCTCTCACCCATGTCACAAATGTTATTTTCAGAGTCCCAGTCCATATTCACATCCATCCTCTGAGGCATATGCTGTGTTCACCTGCAGCTCAACGATGAGGTGTATACCAACAGCTTCAGGTCTTTGACAGTAAGGCCATCTCATTCTCAGCTCTCTTCACAGTCGTCCCTAGGAAATAAAAACCCCACTTCATCAGTGATATTTCTGATATTAACAGAAGATAAAGCTATCACAGTGAAGATTTATTTTCTAAGAGAATGGGATAGACTATTAGTTATGCACTACGAGAAACAATCATCTACTACCATATATGTAGAAAACAACCCTTCAGCATACAAAATACAGACTATGTTCAGTGATGTTAAATCCTCTACCATAATCCAGCCTTCACTGCAAATATAAACTGATAATATCCATTTAAAATTCACCTAAATATGAGAAAATAATAATCTTCAGAATAAATATCTAAATATCTTCAGAAAACTCTGGGGTGCAAACACTTTCAGCAAAGCCCTACACCACAGCTGCCCCCACCACAGACCTTTTTCTGCAGACTCATGCTTAATCCTTGTTTTTACTTTGCTAAAAACGAATTAGTCACACCACTCACAAGGTGTTTTCTTTCAGGAACTAGTTAGGTAACACAGTGAGACCCAGAAATTGTGTCAGTCAAACAGCCAAAACCAGAAGCAATGTATGGAAGGGAGGTCTGGAGAGTTGGGCACACGTTTGGCCTCCCTTTCTGATCAGCATTATTGTAACTGTCTTGAGGAGATTTGGGGGTCCCTCTGGTACCAGCTAGCACCATGCAAAGAAGACACACAGAAGGAAAGGCATGAAAGAGCTGTCCAGAAGGCTCACTAATCATCCTCCCAGGCTTCAAAGAACTGCTAGTAACCCTCTAGAGCTGGCTCACTGGAACAACTTCAAATTCTCTGGGTAAACTCCCTCTGCATACCACCCTCGCCAGCAGAAAAGACGAGCAAAGGTAACTGGTCAGAAACACCCAAGTCACAAACTTTCTTGTAAAGCAGATGCTTCTGTTTACACCATACCACAGCATGGAATCACAAGAGCTTTTCTAGGTTTGTGCCAGCAGCCTCTGTTGATAGCAGCTCTACAGGGAGCTCTCACTCACCTGGTTTAAACCTGCACTTAAACTGAATTGCTAGTCTGAGCTCAGAAATTGCATTTTTCTCATCCTGATGGACACCTTGGCTGCTCCTCCATCCCCCAGCCTTCTCCTTCACATCCATTTTTTTGTATTCTCTTTCCTCCCGCTGTTTCTTCACTTCCTCTTAACTGCTTTTGTTTAGGTAAGACTTTTCTAAATACAAGCATGTATATATATAAATACAGACATGTAAAAATGTACATTTTTCTGTGTTTCCACGTGCACATAAAGCCTGTCTATTCAGCTGCAGTAGGTTTAAATAGCTACAGCGATGTGCATTAAGTGAAAGGTCTCATTCAGCTCTCAGAAAGCTCAGCTTCATTTGAGACACAAGCCGTGCTTTCTTCAGCTGCGATGCAGCAAACAAGCTGAATTAGCCTTCTTCATTAGTCACTGCCTGGAACAGAATGGCTCAAGTCACCCCCCAGCTTCCACCGTACCCGTCGGTTTAACAAGGGGCGCAGGAACCGTTCCTCACCTCCCTCGAGGGGCTGAGCCCCTCCTGCACCTCCCGAGCCCCGGGACGGGGCTGCTCTTCTTCCTCCAATAAACTTTCCCGGGGAGGCTGGCGCTGCCTGGCTGGAGAGAACTCCCTCACAAAGGCCCGTCCGGATTCCGCGGGGAGGGGGGAGTATTTAAATCACGATGTAGGCTTTAAAAAAAAATAATAAATAATTTAA